TCAGAGTCCATCATTGTCCATCAGAGTCCATCATTGTCCATCAGAGTCCATTATTGTGCATCAGAGTCCATCAGTGTCCATCAGAGTCCATCAGAGTATCTGATCAAATTCTTTCAGTAACAGACTGCTGATGATAACTGTCTCATGTCCCACATAGAATCTTTATTCTAGTTTCCATTTTGTCTTGATTTGCTCGTGTTTTGAAAGGTGCCAACTACCCACGTAGACATATAGTTCTTAGATAATACTTCTCTTTAATGCTCATTACGTAATGACCAGTTCAAGCTGGATGATTAAGCGATTTGACAGTCAGCTTGGTGGTAAAGCTGGTTCTGATTACTGTTAATGTGGACTGGTTAGACTGGGGGGAATCCCAGATGGTTGAGCTGGTTTTATGGAACGGGCCTCTGGCCTCTAGATCTGGTGCTCACGGTTGCCAATGGTCCCATATTTTGCACAAAAATATGTGTCAAAATACACTCAGGTTCAAGTCAAATGTTTTCAAAATCCTTTCACAGCAAAGTGCAAACAAAGATGAATTGTGGTGGTTAGGGTGGAAACCAGTGCCTGGCCAAGGAGTTGGCAGCCTTACTGGTGCCAGCAGCTTACGATAAGGAAGGAAATATTTCTGAAAACTGGTCTGATCACTGACAGACATCTAAATGAAGACAGGAGAGTTCTCTCAGAACAAAATAAATTACTCTAAAAAGGTCAATACTGCGTTAATAAAGTTCTACGCAGGTTAAGGAGGGAAAGCGGAAAACAGGAACTGAAGATTGTTTTTTTTTTAAATCTTTTTTTATCTTGTTGTTTTAATCTCGTTTTGAGAGCAATGGAAAATAAAAAAAATGTGAAAAAACAAACGGGAATGCACGTTAAGAGGAAAGAGTGAAACTATTTCAAGCTTTTTGCTGACAGGAATTCAGCCAACAAACATCTTGTTTTTGTTTGCAGTGATTCATCATTAGATGAACCAGTTCTGCCGTGGAAGGAAGTTATTTTCCAGACAGTTTACTTGTGTTTGTTAATGAGCGCCAAACCAGTCAGACTCTTTAAATTTGATGTATTCATTGTTACCCAGCAGACAATGTTTATACAAGCATCAGCTCTGCTGTAAACATTAGACAATTAGAACGCAGCTTCAGGCTGATTTTGGCCTGGCTGGCTGTTTACTTCTGACTGGCTGGCTGTTTACTTCTGCCTGCCTGTTCAGCTCTGTTAATTAGAGAAGCAGGTGAACCTGCCGCTCTCCCAATCACCTACATTCCTCTCAGTTGTTTCTCAGCCCATTTATAGTCGCCTCGCTCAGTTGTTCTTGTCTCTTTGCCTTGATGAGGATAATTTCAAGCAGGGATTTTTCTGCATCTAAAGACAATATGTAGGATTTTATATTTTTACTGTAGGAATAATCTATTA